GATTTCTTTTATATTTTTAGAAAAGTTTTTATTTTTTGTTTTCCGTTTTATATTGTAGTTTTTTAATTTCTTTCTGTAAGACCATTTTTATCCTTTCCTAAGGATTTTATGCGTCTAATAAAAAAAATATCTACAGTCTCCAAAATAAGGTGGCCCATACCTTACTTACGGCGGCGGAGGGATCTGCTCAATGTCCCTCGCGCATTTTTTTCAGGGGTGTCGCCGCCACTGGGTTACCAATTCCCCGCCTTTCGCCTACAATAAGGTAATTCACCCCTTTTCACCCAAAGGTGAAAAGCCAGGCCTCTCTATTCGCCAAAATCACGGTTAAAAGTTAGTTGAAATGTCAAGCTGGAAAGTCAAACAAGCTGCCTAAAAAGCGGCAAAAATTAGATTAACAGTCAAACAAGTTGTTTGTTTGGAAGTCGAATAAATTGGCTGGAAAATTATGAAAGAAGCATAAAAAGTTGAAAACTTGCTTGGAACGCCACAACATGACTGAAGGTCAAAAATGTTGGCTGAAAACTAATACAAGTTGAGTTGGCTGGAAAGTTCCTGTGTTATTTCCTCCGCTGTCAGGTGACGTGAACTTATGTCATCATGATTAACGCTGAAAACTCCAAACCCGTTATGATTCGCTATTTGTGCATGCATTACAGAATAAACGGTACAACCGCCCTCTTCCTATCTTTTAATAGAAAGCTAAAGGGTTTTCACTGAACGTATTCAAAATGGCGTCGCATGAAAAGTTCGAGCAGCTTGAAACAAGACTCGAGATGTTTATTGAAAATACCCGTCAGATGGGTATTATTGTGAGCGATTTTCAACCTCAGGGACAAAATGTACTCAATCAGAAAATGTAAGTAGCTATACGAGAAAATAATCGGTGAATTGTCTTTGTTTCTAGGCTCCGTTTTTTTTGTCTTTTTTCCCAGAAATTACCTTGATTCTAAATGCGATAGCCGTTTTTTGTGAGATAATCAGTCTCGGAACACCCTTCTTAAGAAACGTGGAAATTAGTTTTTGGAGCCTATCGACTGTAGAGTCGGTGATAAGTGCAGACGAACCGATCTACGCCATTTTCGCCAGAACCAGATTCATTTCGATCGGTATGTGCAACGGACATAGTAACCCTATCAACGATGAAAAAAATATTATATTAAATTATTGTAATAATATATCGACTGGTGACAATGTGGTTACAAACACAGAAAAATCATTCGTAGAAATACTAATACATATGTGTGAATCTGTGAAAGAACTGATTATTTTTCACTGTTGGCTGTATTTGTTTTACTGTTGCAAAGCCTATATTATTTGTGTTTTGGATGAACTCGAACCTTTCCATGTGTCCCATGTGATCTGTGACGATATTGGTTAGAAATATTTTCGACTCCACACCCTTATCTGACTATTCATTTTTGTTTTAGCCACAATATGATATCAGGAATGAAGGATATTGATAAGTGTAAAGCCAGTGTTCAAGATGTCAACGTACCCCTTGAAGTATTCGAGTAAGTAAGACAGCCAGTCAACACTAAAATCATTGAGTATCAACTTACTCCTTTAATATTGGTGTACAACATACACTTGCTCAGCATTAGTTGAAGATATAAGAGGTTATGATTTCTTTGCAGGTACATAGACCAAGGTAGAAATCCACAACTTTATACGAAAGATTGTATGGAAAAGGCTCTTGCCAAAAATGAACAGGTTAAAGGAAAAATAGACACATTTAAAGTAAGTTATAATACTAGTATATTAAATTCAATTGTTCATAAATGTATGTTGTATTGTTTCATGTTAAGGTAGCAACAGAGGAAATCTGGTCAAATTCTCATGTTTTTTTTTAATAATCGGTATATCACTTTCTTTTAGTGTATTCTTTCAGTACAACTAACAAAAAAATAGTACTAATTTTATTTTAGACGTAAGTTAGAGAGAAAACTGAGCACAACAAGCTGACTTCCATTTGCCATTTAAAATGCAAACAACAATAGCATTGCGTTGCTTCAAGTAATCTGTTGTCTATACAGCTTGGGTGTTTGCTATTGTAAATAAAAGCACTTCTTATCAGTTACCGTTATATTGTCAGTATCAACAGTTTCCGTATACACACATTCATTATTGGAAGACACGACACCTTTTTTTCGGCAAGGCAAGGAAAAGCAACATCGTTTTAACATGAGAAAAAAGAGAGGTCGTCAAAAAAGTGAGTCATGAGTGAAGAGAGACGGGCCCAACTGAGTGGGTACAGCCGAAAATCCTGTTTCAGATGATTTAGAAGACATAACTTTTTTACAAAGAAGATTGATTTGTATAGTGACAGCCACACTATCATTTCCGTTGACGAAGAAGTACGCGTACGCGAGTGACAAACATTCGCTAACTTTAGTGAATTTGAATTCTGTAAACAAGTTAAGTATTGACATGATGCTTTGTCGTTTTTGAAAGAAAGGTGGAGTTCGGTTAGTGGAAGACATGGATAGACTCCATGGATGGGGCATCTATTTACATTACCGTACAACTATTAATCTGCCCACCTATTTTATTTGATTATTATTTGTATCCAATTAATTTGCCACGTTCAAAAAAATAATTTGTATCCTATTAATTTTACATCAATATTCAATATATAACTCAATATATCAATATGTAACATGACCCCTATGTAAACAATCTTTGCAAAAGATGAATTATCAAATTCCTGAATATTTCAGCTTTCATAAAATATATAGTTTGCTATAAATATGTTATGATTTGAGTTGCTCAGATCATTTTAACTAAACGATGGTCCCCTGTTGCTACCTTAATGCAGCATTGCAAAACGAAACTGGTTGTAGCAGCACATAAATATGCATTGCCTACAACATTCTGTACTCATTTTATTCATTAGTACACATGCGACTATATTTAGCTGCACTCCCCTTCATCGCCATGCATGACTCTTTGTTGGGACTGAAATTTGTTTTGGCATGTGCAGACTCAGTCCAGACCATTCACACACAAGTGTCAGCCTGTGCCAACTTGGTCCTGACTCTCAGCATGTGCTGAGCTCTGTTGTGTGAACACCGCTACTCACCTACACTTATGTAAATATAATGTACTGGAATGCTCACCTATACTTATATAAATGTAATGTACTGGAATATTGACCTTCAATTATATAAATGTAATGTACTGGAATATTGATCTCCACTTATGTAAATGTAATGTACTAAACTACTGACCTCCACTTATGCAAATATAATGTACTAAAATACTGACCTCCACTTATGTAAATGTAATGTTCTGGAATACTGACTTATATAAAGTACTTTTAAATTAATATGTTACATGTATGTGCCTGAATATTAAATACCTCCTCTCTTATGAGTATAATGCACCTAATTGGATTGGCTACAAACTTTGAAAAATAGATATTGTATCTAAAATCAGCTGTCTGTCTGATATTTTTGCAATTCAGTTTATATTATATGTTGGGCCAACAAGTTTTTTTAAACATTCAGACCTATATATCATCCACAAAATACATTGACTTTTCTGAAATCCTAGGATTGATTGATTTCACAAGCGAATATACCATTTTCCTATATTTTACATTCAACTCATCAATAATCTGTGAAAATAAATTCCATACAAAATGCACAAAGAGCCTTTTTCAGCAAACCAATCACTTCCAGCTAAAATATAGTATTTTACAGATATTGTAAACGTTGCATGGGATGTGAATCAAACATGACTTGACATGTGGCTGGTACTACAGCTATGTTTATATTAACATTTTCACCACTAGTTCTCTCTTTTCATCACAAATTCACAAAATAATCCTTTTTATAGTTTGCACTTTACTTTCGAAGATAAGGACAAAAATAGCCAATTTTTGTGTGTAAAAACTGACTAACTGCTGTTAGCTCCAAAATTTCCAGAAATATTGAAGAATATAAGAAAAAGTGCAGACAAATTTGTGCGAGAAAAGCTGGTGGTAAAAAGGTTAAGATGCTAGTCCCTCTATTCTCATGCGACGTCATTGTTTAGTGAATAATGTTAACGTTTTAACAAGTCTTCATGCATGTTCTATTTTACAATCTCCTTACTGCCTGGTCATTTGCAACTGGTAAAGGAGTTTTTGCCAAAACTGTCACTTATTATATGTATCTTATTTATTAAGTGTGGCTTTTGCTGACATGTACTCTAACAATAATTGCTCTTTATTACAGAGATTTAAAACATTATTGGTTAACGAACTGAATAAGATGTTTCCAGAGGAGATAGAAAAATACAAATCCTTGCGAGATATTGACAGACCTGCTCATCATTCGTAGACATCAATGGTTCTGCCATTGGTCGACAGTGATGAAAACTTCTGATCACAGAATGATCATTGTACTTTATTATGACTAAGGACCATGGAATATTATGGGATGAATGTGGCTAACTCGTAAAAAAACAGAAAATTTAAAAGCACCTAAAATTTTTTTTACTTTGTTGAGTGAAAAGTTCCATCAAATAGACAACAGAGCAAATACAAATCAAGGGTACCGCAAACATGTTTCCATGGAAACAATAACTGTGATTTCTCCATAGTGTTCAGCACTACTCTGGTGAATTTGAAATTGGTCAAATTACTTAAAAACTGGCATTCATAATTAGTTGAGATGCCGTATTTGCTCTATTAGGACTACATGTACATGCACTCATGTATATGACGGGTGTGTTTCTATGGGGGTGTCTTTGAAATCTAATGTGCTATGTGGACCATTGCTAACATTTCACCAGTCACCAATGGGGAATTACTTAGATATAGCTACATGTACAACAAAAAGGGAATAAGAGAAATTTCCAACCATGAATTATTCTGTGAAAGTTGTCATCCTTTATAAACGCAGAAAAGTTAAATAAACATCAGACAAACACAAGTATACGTACAGTAATACATTTCAGTTTGCAGTATGAATGTGAAAAATATTGTCTGTCATAATGTTACCACCTTCCAGTTTGCGTAGTTGCTGAACAGGTTGTTTGACTGATCAATGGCAAAAATTATTGTAGAGTAGCAGAAGCTCAGACTATGAATTTTGACTCCTTTTATTTTCACAATCTGACAGTTTGTTACTGCCATTATCATTACCCCATTTTGCAGTCAGACTGAAACCATTATTAATTAAACAAGCAAATATACGTGCATAATGCCTTTTCTAAACAAATTTACTCAAATTGGTGACAATCACAGTAACTGTGGTAGGTATTTGAATCGATAATGAAAAACTTCTATGAATCATAGAAAGATTCATACTGCACTTTTTTTAAATTTATTTATTTTGTCACATTTTATATTCAGGAATAAAAGACATTTATAATCCATATGATGGCCGTTTGGTTCCACGTTTTCTTTTGCTGCCACTGATGAAATTGTGATGCTGCCTGTGTACAGTTTTGTCCGACTGCATTCTCATAAACCATTCACTGGATTGAGAAATAACCTTATACAATTTTTATATCCCTCCCGAACATTAAAAATGCAGTAGCTGTGTAATAGAATTTGAAAGAAAAAATAGCTAGTATCTTGAAACTTACCAGTAGAAGATATTTGATTCACAGGAGTTGGCTTAATTTTCAGCTGAAAGTCGCAGTATGTATTGGAAAAATAGCTCGTGCCTTCAAACTTTGAAAATATGTTTGCTATGAGACAAGACCTGACTTAATTTTTGGTCAATGTATGCATTTTCGGTATACATGTACAACTGATAGGATAATAGCTAGTGTTTTCAAACTTAGCAGTTTTTAGAAAAAAAGGTTACAGTGTGTGTTAATGAATTTTTACAATGGAGTTCCAAAGTGTTCTAAAAAGACAGAAATGAAATGCACATTTTCCAAATGGGGAAGACAGGTTCATATTACATGTCATGGATGGATAAACTCTCTGCCAGATGTCTATAATACCAGTAATTCATTATTTACTAATTGCATGGACTTAATAGGAATGACTGCTAGCAGCCAACTACAGTTGACAGAAAAACAAAGCGTTGTACATGTACTGTCAGAATGTTCGAGAAATGGTCAAGCTATATTTTCCTCGTTATTTTTGTTTATTCTAATAATGGAGTGCATATGGACATGTTACCAAAAGCACTGTTTGACAATTATTTTTCACTGAAACTTGTTTGGTCTGAAACAATACAATTTAGTTGTAATATTGCTGTGGACTGCACAAAATGAAAAATTAATCAAATTGTTTATAGTGCGGTCAAGACCAATTATTTCTCTGAGGGTAATTTTAATTGTATATTGACCGATACTGAGGAAATTTTATTATACCAAATAAATTAATGTAGGAGTCTCTGACGCCATTTTTGTACAAGTAAAACTAAAATCCAGGTCACTGGATTTTCATTGTTTACTCAGAGTCAATAATGAATTTTATTCTTCTGTTCAATCAATGTGACAATCTTGCACATGAGGTATAATAATATTATTTAATATGCACTAAAATAAAAATACAGAATGATGTATATATATATTGTCCAGTAGATTGTTTCAATGATCCAGCATACAATAAATGCAAGTGTTGGTGGATGTACACATGAGAAAGGCTTGACGGTTGAGTTTACAGAACAGCTTTGACACATCAGGGTGGAAAGTACAAAATCAATAGAATTTCAACAATAGTTAGGAAGATGCGTCTACAATGCTCCAACAAGAATATAACTTGTGTGGCTCTTGTTCATTTCAACCAGCTTCAAAAAATACATAAAATATGCAATATATTCAAACCTCACCTGCCAGAGACGTACTCTTCCCAATTTTATGTCAAAACAGGACAATTTGTGATAATGAAATAAACAATAGGGTATCCCGATTTTCCCAGTATTTGAAATCTCCTTTGACCCTTCCCTTTAACACGTTTTAGTTATCCAAAGCCTCTAACCCACTCAGAACGTTAGACCATCTATTATGCAATTGCCAAGACTGAGTTAAAGTAAATTTTCTGTACTAACACCAATTACCGGTATATGTTTGTGCATTAAAAAAACAAATTGACATCCCTGCAACGTGTACAATTAATATTGAACGCAGCTTTATCTGACTATGCAAGATTTAGCTGGAGTTAATTATACAAAATTCAAAAAGAATGACTGTAACTGTTATCTTGACGATGCCTTGTCACAACTTTTTTGGCAAGCACCATTCTCAGGCATCTTAAAATAGAATACATATGAATTGCATACAAACACTACCTATTAAAAAACCTATGGTGAAGATGGAATCCATTTGACCTCAGAATTGGAAGAGCTCACTTTCTCAAAAATTACGCTGAATTCAGGCTTTGAAAGCAATATGATTATGAGAATGCACTGGTTCACGTAAATGCCAACCCTGGTTGGATATTAATAGGTCAATAATAGTAGAGTTGTATGCAGTCATTGTCATGTGGTCGGCCTTGGTTTTAATATGAGTTTTCCAGTCTGTAAGAAAAAAAATTCTAGCATTAAAAAGACTGATAGTTACAGATACAGCACTTGCATTCATGATGAAAATATCAAACATTGTGTACTTATGAAATTAATTTAGCAAATATCTATACAAGAAACAGCAATGCATGAAAGGATTTTTTGTAGTGAGGATGATAATAACTGATAATAATTAATGGCGAGGTATGTCAGCATTCCATCAAGAAAGCTTATCAACACTCAAACTTTCATTTTTGTTTGCACAGGTTACTCAAATTAAAGGGCTTTCAACATATGTTGCAAAAGATACCTTGCCACAGTTAGCCGGCCGGCTTAAGCAAATTCTTGTCTTGATGACGTTAGTATCATGCTTCTGTGATCGACCAAGGCATGCACGATCAGTTAAACTACCTGCTGCAATCAAAAGTTTTGGTATTCTAAAGATATAAACCTAACCCCCAATGTGATTTTTTTCGTAGACAAAAATATTTTTCCTTGAACGATAGCTTCAATTTGATACTGACGCTGGCTATGTACGTTTGATAAATTTGCTGTATGCGAGCAGTATGCATGGGCTAATTTCACAAAGTCTGAAAACCTTCAAATACAACAATTTAGGTACCAAACTTGAAAATTATATTGGGGCGCTTTTTCACATGAAAATCTTGAATATTTTTTTATCTTACATGTCAATTTTCTAAATGATTTTACACATGATTAAATTTAGTTCAACTTACATCATCACAAGACATGTTGTAATCTGCTAAAATTGTCCGAACTCTTGCTGTAATTCTGAATAAAGCTGGTCAAGGAAAACATTAGGCCTTAAATGATTTCATATTGAATTAAACTTTTGTCATCTTTCGATAAATAAACCTGCATAATTTGTTCCCATATTTTACAAATATCAGTCAGTAGCTGATGGTAAATTATTTAAAAAGTTGCCCGAAATAAAAAAAAAAAAAATAAAATACAGCAAATGTGATTTTTGCTTCACATGCTTTTCTTTTAAAGATGTGCATCTAATAGAGCAAATATGGTATATGTCATATAACCAGGCAAAATTGTGCAACTGTAACAACAAGAAATGCAAACTAGTAAGGCCATGAATAATGTCAGCAATGGTAGAGATCTATTCATCTCCTTCCAATTTTAAATCCAACTGATTAATCGCTGATTAGTGAAAACCCCTGTTACTGTACTAACAATACAGTCACTGGTTATCACACTGAAAGGATACATTGACGGTGCAACTACTCTTTTATGTATTCCTCCAAGAAATAGTATTATTAAAGTTATACAGCTGATTGCAAAAAATGGATGGTTGTATAGTGACTGGAAGAAAGTTACCTGTTAAAAAAAAAACAAGAACAAAGTCAAATATTAATCCCAAAACAACGGTTGAATGGTTCCTATCGCTACTGTGAATTTTTGCAAAAATGTCACTCAGAGTTATGACTTTTTGAGATTTTTTTTTTTATTTCATAGGTTTCAATGCAATTATTTTAATGTAACTTTAAATTTTTGTATCCTCAAAATGCTTTTTTTGGTTCTTCAAAATTGTTTAACACTGTTTGTCTCCATCTTCTTTTTGGTTCTATGGTTCAAAAAATAATTTTTCTATTTGCTAACTTGAATGAAACTTGTTTTTTTGGCCATGCTTTTCAATGCAAGGTTGCATACTACGTTGCCCAGCGTTTTTTTTTTTCGATCAGTCATTTTTACTGTAAATTTTTGTATTCTAAACATTACCATTTTTTATTTGAATAAGCTTGAAAATTGAATTTTTGAGAGGGTTTGAAAACATCTACAGTGATGAAGTTTCCCGGGCAGATTCCAAACAGCGAACATATCTTTTTTTCTATATTTTACATTCAACTTGTCAAAAATCAGTGAAAATAAATTCCATACAAAGCACCAAAAATGTCTTTTCAGCGAAAATTAATTCCAGTTAAAATAAAGTATTTTACAGTACATGTATATGTTTAGTTTGAAAATGTCATAATTAATTCTCCCTTTTTTCATTAAAATGTGGGTTGAAATTCACTATAGGACAGAATACTGTAAATACATTAACTATTTACTGGGTCATACTTCCAATACTTTTGCTGATAAGTGGAATCCGCTAAATTAAATCTACATGAACATGTAAAATAACAATAAAACTCATAATTAAAATACAGTCAATTTGCTCAAAACATCAAAATAGTGAAATTAAATTGTCAGTGAAAATAAATGGTTTTACAGTAGTATATATGCTACGGTAAACGTGTGTATGCAAGTTATGAATACTTTGTTTTGTGACTGCAGCCATGTATTATTTCAGTGGCAGCCCTTTCTAATTTCAACCACAGTCGCAACAAATATATTATGCACTACATGGCAGGCAAGACAAGTGTTCCAACAGCTTGTACTTGAAACAGTCAAATGATTTGAATACTGCTTGTAATGCACAGCAAGCAGTGTTCAAATTTTGAATAAAATTCGCTGAGGAACCCATATTATACAAGGTGCAGCGCAAGTCATCACTGCCTTTAAAAATAAATCATATCAATTTCTATAAACTACCTGAGATGTCATGGGGTCAAAGATCCATCCCCAAGCACCTGTTGCTGTACACACCGATACTACTATCAACATAACTGCAAAAGAAAAAAAATCAGTAAGTATTAACAATATACCAGTATGGCCAATACCCTGAAGTGGAAAAGTCCAGGGGTCTACCTAAACGTCGAGGGGTTCAAACGACCTGATACTAACAAGTCATACTTTGAGTTTGACATACAGTAGGCACTCTATTAGTTAGAGGTGTAACACGCATAAACCAATACACCGATTGCATAAAGAGGGGACCTTCGCAAAATATGATACACAAGGAATAAAAACATACACGGTAACAAATGTTTTCACTGAATAACGCGACCTCCCTATTTTCAGCATGGGGTTCCAAGTTTCGACTCGACTAGATATGAAAATAAAACTCACTTCGACATCTTCTTGTTGATGGTCCGAGAAAAGCAATATATTCGGTTAAACGGCGCTCAAACGCCTTCAGATCTGAAAAAAGGATCGGAAAAAATACACAATTTCACAAATGAATGATTAGATTACCAACAATAACACATCATGCATTCCACGAGAAGCAAAGCGTGCAAACCTTCCGTCTGCTCCAGCGACATATTCTCCACTTCCGGTTTCCCCGAAGTTGGGGGTTTCGTTGTCGTTGACGAGAATTCTTGTAATTCCGACTAGCTTTGCAACACAAATGACCATTGGTTAAAATGAGCAACAGATTAGTCGAATGTCCAATCAAACTCTGTCACGCTTTAACGACACTTAAATTCAAGTCTCGCTTATTGCGAGATTGGGCTAAAAACGAGCTGACACCGGGGATGCCATGTGGGTTTGGTGACAGTTCGCTCGTCGCCTTGATAAATTATTTTTTATTTGTCAGTGCTCGTACTTGAGCGAATGTGATATCATACTGGTAAGTACATTTATTGACATCTATTTATATTTAAGTTACTGTATGAGTCTATTTCGTTCAGAATGAAGACAATGACCGGGTATATTAAATTATGCAAGAGTTGCCCAGACCCAAACGGAAAGTGAGAGCTGCAAGCTGCTTTAGTTTTTATGTCTAGAGTTACTGGACTAAAAAAAACGACATAAGAGTATAAATGCCCAATGTTTGGAAATACACGTCAAGAGTAGGGCGCCCTCATCTCCGAGGTGTTCGAAGTTAGCAATGCTACCATTTCATCACCCTGGCTGTGTAACCACAGGGAGCCCAGGAACTATGATCAACTGTACGCACTCCCTATGAGCGGGGAGGGGGGGGGGGTCGGCTGGTATCTAGTGTAAGAAATAGACAAGGGATGAACGCTCCAGCCAGCTCACATTTTTTAAAATCGAAAAAACTGACGAAAAGAATGAAAAATAAAATCTAAAAAAAATACCAGGTTGAAGAATATTAGTTGCTCCTTCAAATTTCGCCAAAGCATTACCTACATTTTACCAATATCTGCAGAATAAATCAAGAAAACTACACAAATTGACATTTTGTATTTTGTGAATAACCAATCACAAGACTTTTACCGAACCACATCGAGGTCACGACTCGGTTAGCCTTGCTCAACTGGTTCGTAACCAGTTTTGTGATTTGTTGTTGACAAAATGCTGAACGGGCCACGCCTCCAACTGTGCCGTGTGTTCGAGCAAACCGTTAGGAATTCCTAAATGGAGTCAAACAAGTTTGTTAATTTGTTTTACCAAATAGATGCATACATGCATTATTAGTCCCTGTTCAGGCATAGTCTGAAAGGCGACTATTATTTATTATTTCTGGTTTCCTTCCGTCCACCGCCCTTTATGTCTCCAACATTTTCTCAGAAATTCTGTGGCAGATATCAATGAAACTTGGCAGGTTGATGAACAAGTCTCTGTTGAATACGGACATAATTATTTTTTCCAGATCTGAAAATTCTATGTGGGTCTTTTTCAAGATTTTCATCCAAAATTACCTCTCCCTACTGCACTGAGAGAACAACTGAGCATGTTCAGAATAAATAATTAGCTTAGATTGTAATGCTAGGGTTTTTATTGATGTCATGACCTTGATCTGAATCAGTGATAGATGGGTCGTACCATTACCAATCTCAGAAAATGTAGAGGGGTGTCAAGGCTACATTTTGATGGGAATTGTAGTGGTGATACTGAAACAAACCCAGGTCCTGGTAATATACAAAGACCTGAATTAACAAAGAATTCAAGTTCAATTTTGTTATTCTTTCTTTTGACAAAACGAGGGAACAAGCTGGGTTCTCCAGGGTTTGAACATTAAACAGGGCGCGCCAAA